CACAGGAGTTTCTTCGCCGGGCTGCGGACTCTGTGCACCCGGCGGAATGCCGACCCCCACTGCCAGAGCCGCTCGAGTCGGCCGTGTATCGTGTGCGCACTAGCCTGACTCAGGTGCACAGGGACAGAGTCCAGATGTTGAATTCCATGTGCCAAAGGGCAAAAGAATTGACTAAGGAAGAGAATGAGGATCATGCCAGGATGGACAGCTCGGTCAGAGGCATCTTAGAAGAGCTCTTGCAGTCCATTGATTTCGACGATAAGGCTTTGGTAGATGATCTGCGCAAGGGAATGCCATTGACGGGCTGGCTTAGGGATAGTGGCCACATGCAGGCGCACGTAGTTCCTCCACTATTGACCAAGGATGAGCTCCTTCAACAGGCCCCTGCCCGTAACAGAGAAATTTGGGACATGACTGGGCCCTCCGGCGACTCGACACTGGATGAGGCCCTCTGGCGCAAGACCTGCGAAGACGTGGACAACGGGTGGGCTTTCTTGTTGCCGCCCTCTGATGCCCCCCATAGGCGCTTTGCAGTCACCCAGGGGGACCGCGTCAGGGCCATTGACGATTTTAGTGTCTCCAGGGTCAACGACACAGTCGGAAGTCAGGACAAAATCACAGTCATGACTTCCGGTGACACAGTTGCCTTGGTGCAGGCGTTTCTTAGGTCTCCGCAGGTGCCCGCCAGAGCTCGTAAACTGCTAGGCAGATGCTTTGACTTGAAGTCGGCGTATCGTCAGCTAGCAGTCTCGCCGCAGGACATGGATGTAGCGCGTGTTGCAGTGTGGAACCCGCTTGCCAAAAGGGTTGAAATCCTGCAGCTCAGGGCACTCCCGTTTGGGGCGTCCGCCAGTGTCTGGGGGTTCATAAGATTGGCCCTCGCCTTGTGGGCCGCCGGAACCCAGTTGCTGTGCATCCCGTGGACCACTTTCTACGATGACTACTCAGTAGTCACCCTGGAAGAGGATGTCAGAAGTCTGCAAGCCTCAGTCTTCTTGTTTTTCCAGCTGCTGGGGTGGAAAGTAGCCACCGACGGGGGCAAAGCGTCTCCCTTTTGCCAGGTCTTTCAGTCCCTAGGTGTGGTGTTTGACTTGACAAAGGCACCGCAAAGAATTGTACTTGTCTCCAACACAGAAGCCAGGCGCATTGAGGTGCGTCGCTGGTGCAAGGAAACGCTAAACAGGGGAACTCTGGCCCCAGCCGAGTGCCTTGCCTTTGCCTCCAGGGTTCGTTGGCTAGAGGCGCAGACGCACGGTCGTCTTGGCATGGTCGCGTTAAGGGTCCTCCTCAACCATGCCAGCCCAGCAAAGGACTCACGCAGATTCGTCATGTCAAGCAGGCTGCGTTGGGCAGTATCTTGGATCTTGCACAGTGTGCCCTCAGCACCGCCCAGGGCCTTTCAGCTTCAGGCACGCAAGAAGTTTTTGGTCTTCACCGACGGAGCAGTCGAGGATGGCATCGCTTCCGTAGGGGGAGTGCTCTGCAGCGCTCGTGCGCTGCCCATTGCTTACTTCGGTGCTAAGGTTCCACAGTCGGTGACCGAGGCTTGGCGTGCATGTGGCACGGAGCACCCAGTTTTTCAGGCAGAATTGCTTGCCGTGCTGCTTGCAGCTCACTTGTGGGGAGGGGCCCTCGCAGGGAACCTGTGCACGTGCTTCGTAGACAACGAGGCCGTCAAGCGCTCTCTGATTAGAGGATCCGCTTTCCCAGATTCCAACCAGCTGCTACTGGAGAACTTCCTTTCCCAGGAATCGTCTCTAGGGACACACTTCTGGTTCTGCAGGGTACCCAGCCCGTGTAACCCGGCAGATGCGCCGAGCAGGGGGTTGTTCCCGCAGTGGCTGGCTTGCGTGAAGAAGTCCATGGGGATTTTGTGGAGGCTTTGGCCCTCAGCCAGCTGGGCTTCTAGGAACGTGGGGCATAAGGGCCCAGCGGCCTCGGGCCATTTGTGCTTTTGCTCTGACAGTCCTGCAGGCACCTCAGGTCCAATTGTGGAACCAGGGCGTCGGGAGCTTTCAGCAGCGTGGACAGGAGCCCAGGCTCCCAGCTCCCGATGCAGTACAGGTGCCGGAGCTTTTCAAAGTCGGATTGCCGGCTAGTGCCGTGCAGCTTTGCCCCACGGCGTGAAAAGTGCTTCTGCGCCGCTTCTCTTCAGTAAGAGTTCGTGACACATGTTGCTTGTACTTGTACGAGCCTATGTGTCCTTGAACTCGTGCCATTTTGGCTCTAGCGCCAAAATTTTCAGCCCACCCTCCACTCCCTAATGAAGCGACTTGAGGTCGATCCGTTGTTGGACCTGACAGGTTCCTTCGGACCTATCAGGTCAGGTAGGGCCCAGTTGCGTCAGCCATGGGAAGAAGGAACCTTTGCTTTTTTGTCTCAGAGCCCAAGCATTTTGAGAGAAGTGCAGGAGGATCTGTTCGAGCTGCCTGCGCATGTGCCGCGGCCACTGGTTGCAGTAAATGTTCAGGCAGTCGCAGTGCCGGCCCCTTTCAGGGCGCCGCCGTTAAGGTGTGCTCACACAGGATGGCAGGCTTCCAGGGCGCGTGAAGAGCGCCAAGTGGCGCTTGGCAAGTGGAGCGCTTTGGTTAGGCAGGCGCCCCATTTCTTCAGTATTCAGGTGCTCCACTTTGTCATGAACCAAGACAATAGGGTCGAGTTGGGCAACTTGGAGGTGATATTCTGTCGCAAGGCCACCAACACGTTGCTCAGCAGAGCCAGCGCGTTGAAGAAACTGGTGGTTTGGGGGGCCTTTCGTTTTCCCATGGAAACCTTGTCTGAGCCGCTGCTTTTTCTCTTTATGCAGGAGCTTAAAGACAAGGGCGCCTCAGCCAGTGCGGGGCATGCAGTCTTGCAGGCGCTGGCCTTTTGTCATGGGCTCCTTGGCTTAGCAGTTGCTCTTGACAGTCTTCGCAGCCCAAGAGTGACGGGCATGGCTCACATGCAGTTGCAAAACAAAATGCCTCCTAAGCAGGCGCAGCTTTGACCGTTTTCTTTGTGGCAGATCTGTTTACGGCCGCTATCAGGTCGTGCAAGAAGTATCAGGACAGGATCTTAGACTTTGTTTCATTTGCAACAATGGCGCCGAGGCTAAGCTGAATGGAGCTTGGGCGGGGGCATAAGGGCCCAGCGGCTTCGGGCCATTTGTGCTTTTGCTCTGACAGTCCTGCAGGCACCTCAGGTCCAATTGTGGAACCAGGGCGTCGGGAGCTTTCAGCAGCGTGGACAGGAGCCCAGGCTCCCAGCTCCCGATGCAGTACAGGTGCCGGAGCTTTTCAAAGTCGGATTGCCGGCTAGTGCCGTGCAGCTTTGCCCCATGGCGTGAAAAGTGCTTCTGCGCCGCTTCTCTTCAGTAAGAGTTCGTGACACATTGGTAGGTGTTTTTCGGAGACGTTCGAAGGAGAAGCGGGGCCCCCCTGCTGGCCTGGGTGTGGTGCCAAGGGGGCTAGATTTGGGTTTCTTTGGTAGGTGTTTTTCGGAGACGTTCGAAGGAGAAGCGGGGCCCCCCTGATGCTGCTGATGCTAACCTGGGTGTGGGTGTGGTGCCTGATGCTGCTGATGCTGGCCGTTGCGTGTCATGTGCGACAAGAGAGAGAGAGAGAGAGAGAGAGAGAGAGAGAGAGAGAGAGAGAGAGAGAGCTACTTGAATCACTGAGCTGGGCGTGCTGCAACATGTCTGCCCGTCTATGGTTCGCAAAGGTGTCTGTCTCATTGCTCTCAGACGTTCGAAGGAGAAGCGGGGCCCCCCTGATGCTGCTGATGCTGGCCTGGGTGTGGTGCCAAGGGGGCCTGTTTTGGGCTAGATTTGGGTTTCTTTGGTAGGTGTTTTTCGGAGACGTTCGAAGGAGAAGCGGGGCCCCCCTGATGCTGCTGATGCTAACCTGGGTGTGGGTGTGGTGCCTGATGCTGCTGATGCTGGCCGTTGCGTGTCATGTGCGACAAGAGAGAGAGAGAGCTACTTGAATCACTGAGCTGGGCATGCTGCAACATGTCTGCCGGTCTATGGTTGGCAAAGGTGTCTGTCTCATTGCTCTCTGCATCTTCCGGGCTGAGGGTCGGCGCTTTGCTCTCTCGGCGCCTCTCTGTTCCTGTAAGCTCCGTGTCCCCAGTCCTAGGCCTACTAGAGCTTTCGTCCCAGCCCGTGGCTCTCAAGTAAAAATTTTCGGTGCTTCTGCACGATCCGTACCATCGCCCGACCTCACGCTAGGCACGGCATGGCCGGAACAGCAGGAATCACAAAGGAATGACAAAGGTATCTCGTCAACGAAGTTGATTGCAGAGGTTTACTATGTGATCACTTGCCAGGACAGCATGATAAGGCCACCTCTCGACCCAAACCCTATGAGCATCAACGCAAGAATACATGCCTACACGTATATATATGTAAATGTATATATAATATATACATATATATACATATTATGTATTTATTTATCGATGTACATACATATAAGTACAATAGATACATATAATCTAAATGTAAATATGAGTAAACACACAAGGAAAGTATAAATAAGCAAATAAATAAACGAACAAAAGCATATATTTCCAAATAAGTAAAGAAATACATACATCTACATCTACATCTACATCTACATCTACATCTACATCTACATCTACATCTACATCTACATCTACATCTACATCTACATCTACATCTACATCTACATCTACATCTACATCTACATCTACATCTACATCTACATCTACATACACATATACATACACATATACATATACATATACATATACATACATATCATTTGTGCACCAAGCCGGCCCCTACCACGACACACGATCGGCTCCGTCTACAGGGTCGAGTTTCTTTCGGCCTCACCATACATCTAGCCGTAGTTCACTCTGAGGAAACACTGAGAGGATGCTCGTGACATTGCGTTGATAGGAAGATTTGGAGGGATAGTGGCCTCAGCTTTGCGGATGTGTTTCTGACCCAAGCATGATTGGTGAATAGGTAATTTGTGTGCCGCATCGCGTGGCAGGCAATGCCATCTGAAAGTCAGTGCTGCAACGCCATGTGAGCGGAATCCTGCATGTCCTTTTGGACTGAACCAGCAGTTTGGTCAAGAGAGACTTGCTGCGATGCGCCGTTCTGGGCGCATGAACATCTCTCCTTTTGAACCATCTCGTCTCCTGGTGTTTGAAGGCTCCCCGAGTGCCCTACTGGTCAGAATTCCCTCAAAGAGCTCTCTAGATAATGACATCACATTAGGGCCACAAGGCGGTCAGACAATTGAGAGAGGTCATTGTCTAGGTTCGTGGGTCCATGCGCTTGATGGCCCAGAATAGACTTCATGCAGTCCCTTGTCCCAAACCCAGCACCAACCCTTGGGCCGTAGTTCGCAAAGTGCCAAGCATGTTGTATTCTTGACACTAGCACAATATGATAGAGGCACCCTCCGAATAGTCAATATTGAATGCCCAGACACGCCATTCAGTATGGGTAACGAGTGCGAGAGTATATTCTTAACTCCCAACTACTTTATGCACCCATATGACCCTGGGTACACACAGGAATTTGACAAGCGAAAACGAAAATCAAGATTGCTTGCTTCGAATGCTCACGCAGAAACAGTTTGGATCACTCCAGGAACAGAGTGTGGCGCGGGGGCGGGGGGGGAGGGGGGGGGAGAAATTTCCAGGGTGAGCACTTTGAACACTTTAGCACTCCAGGCAAGGAGGATTACTGAGCAAAGAAGTTACCAGCCCCACAGCGCGCAGGCGTTTTGGCAAGGGATTAGATACTTGCCACATACTCAAAGAATGTGGCAAGTCTGCTCTAGTCAAGAGAGCCAGCCAAGAAAAAATGGTATGTGGCTCGTGAACGAGTGTCCCAGGAGGTGTCCTGTACATCCCTGTTGGGTGTTGGATGGGGCCTCCGGATCCAGCCGTCACTCATGTGATAGAGGAGCTACTTCTTTAAAAACTTCAAAAGTTCGAGAGGCACTATCACCGGGCAAGCTTTTGTTCTAGCTTCATCGAGAAGAAAGACAGACAGACAGACAGACAGAAAAACAGACAGAGAGAGACAGGCACACACACAAAACAAGAGCAAGCATGCAAACAAATACGCACGCGCTGGATTTTGATGGGCGCTGGGCCATCACTTCACATACACAAACATTTCATATGTACAACATTTGGCATGAGATCTTAGTGCACCTGATCTCATTGCACCTTCCTGCGTGCGTGCGACAGAACACACAAGATCATATCCATGCCTGCCTGCTTGCAACAGCTTTTGATTTACCATCACATTCGGCACACTGCTTCTGGCCGACTCCCTTCGTCACATCCGGTGCGAGGGGGGGTAGTATACATATACACAGACATGCCACAAAACCCCAAAAGCATCTTTTAAAGGGCCCGACGCACCTCAAATATCCTCAAATGCAGTCATTTGCTGTTTGATAGGGAGATGCGTTTAGGCCAGAAGTCTCCAGTAGGCGACTCGGTGTTGGATGTGGCTGCATTTTTTGACACAAGACAGGGCGTGGGTACATGGGGTACGTATACAAGATATGATGTGTACGTATACGTGTATACATACAGCCATATAATATATACATATATATATATATATATAATATAAGACATATATGTATACGTATGTCTCAAACTGTATGCATATATATGTGCTCACCCCACCCCCCATTGACATTTACTATTTATAGTCAATTGATTATTTATGTTTTTAATCTTTGCATTGCCCGAAAATCATAGACAAAATGTCAGGCTATACGCTGCTTATTCGCAGGGCGTCCCAAGACAATATATTAGATAGATGCTTCTGCTACGGATGAAGACAAGGAAGTCAGCTTTTCAGCCATACAAGAAGTCAAGGCAACGCCCATATCCTTTGCTTCCTTGACAAAGGTCGTGCTTGCAAAGGCACACCGAAAGCATCGGTCGAGACGAAGAAGAAGGAAGCAAAACCAAAGATAAGACGGGCGAAAATCAGGGGTTGCAAGGCCATTAGTTCTTTTTGTTCATTGTAGTATAACCACCACATTCATTATTTAACGTCGTTCTTGTTTCGTACGAAGCACGGCATAGCTAAAACATGTGACATGCCCATGTTTTGCTTGTCCGGAAGCTTCGCTTGAGATAGCATGTTGTGAAACAAACCACAGGGCCAGAAGTCCAACAGCCCAAAAGTCCAAAAGTCCAAAAGCCCAAAATTCCAAAAGTCCATGTTTTTGAGTTTTTGGACTTTGGACATATAGGCCTGAAATCTTGGACTGTTGGACTTTTTGGACACATGGGCCTGAAAATCTTGGACCACAGGTCCAAAAGTCCAGAAGTCCAAAAGTCCCAGGCCCGAAAGTCCAAAAGTCCAAAAGTCCAAAAGTCCAAGAGTCCAAAAGTCCATAGTTTTTGGACTTTTGGACATGTAGGTCTGAAAATCTTGGACTTTGGACTTTTGGACTTTTGGACATATATAGACCGGAACTCTTGGACTTTTGGACTTCTAGATTTTTGGACTTTTGAACTTAGGACGTTTGGACTCTTCGAATTGACCCACCCCCTCCATGACAGCTGCGAAGGCGCGTGTCCCTGGAAGATGGGGTGAGCACATCCAGATACATATGTTGTATGTGATAGCCAAATGAAGAGAATATGTATATCTTCATATAGGTGTATAGGCGTTTTTGTGGAGGGTATCCCAAATGCGGTCCTGGGGTCATACGGTGAAGGGCTGCCATGTACAGTGATGAGCGGCCAGAAATTCATGGAGTGCTCGGCCTTTTCAGTCTGTCATCTGTGCACCAAAGGCTGTGCACAACTGAAACCTTGACACTTGTTTTAGCACGCTGTGCCTGTCTCACGGTGGGACTACCTGCCGAGATGCGGGCAGCTCGTGGCTCCGCAAAAGGTTCAAGATCTGTAGATCCTTAAAGAGCAGCTGGCATAGTCACAGTTTGGACAGACCTCTTGCTAGAGGCTTCTCATGGGGTTCGTGGTCATGATCTTCTTCGGGCACGTGGTTGTGGCAGCATGCAACTGGTCCGTGCCACGAGCTCCTCTCACGGCATTTGTGAGAATTCCCATTCTACTTGGATAGTGTTGCAGTATGTCGCAGCAGCATAAATGTGGTAGTTTGTTCATTGTTCATGGTGTTTGCTACTCTGCCGAAGTATCATACTGAGCCAGAGTCTGCCTGAGCGGTTAAGGTGCTTGACAATTCAGGATTGATGGGGTTGCAAATTGCCCTCCTGATGCCGAACTTGGTCTCTGCTCAAACCTCAGGGCTTCTGTGACTGTACGAGCGAAGTCGATGCAAACGCGACGTGCTCTTTGGATGCTTGACGCTTTTGCATCTGGAACCAATATATCATGCCCCAAAGCTGCCTTTGGGGGAGGTCTGAAATCTTCTGTTGCTTGCGGTGACTAGCAATGTGGCATGACATGTATCGCGACATTCCTTGTGCTTAGGTTGCAGCGGCATCCTCATTGGCGATCTGTTGGACATGGCTTCCAGCACCGACGCCGCGCTCACCGACATCTGGCTGGAATTTGAAGCCCCGTTCCCCTTTTTGTCCATAGCAGCATCGCAGCATGCAGCACAGGTTTCGGAGGTGCAGACATGGACCAGGTCAAGAGGCGGATGTAGGGCCCCAAACACCGGTAATTGCACAGGTTTGCAGTCTTGCGTATTCTTGCATCACTAAGGATGCCTCGAACGCTGAGTCCCAGTCCAAGCGTTCTGAGCTTTCCACTCCTGGACGAGGAGGATGCGGAGGCCGACGTTGAACAAGAGGTTCAAAAGTCTCCAGGACCTGGCTGCGCCGGTTTTTCTTTGCAGAATCCTGTGCATGTGGTTTAGAGCAGCCTCTCAAAACCGTTGCTTTTCAGCAACATGCGCGTACCTTCGCAGCGCTTTCAGGTCAAGCAAGGAGTGCTCAAGGTAAAAGTAGCTTCAAAACACTCCTGCGTCTGCGTGCTTTCCGAATGGAATCGCCCGAGGCGCGTCGAACCTTGGCCTCTGCTCTTGGTCTCGAGCCTCCGAGCGCTTTGCTCAAGGGCAAGAGACTGACTGAAAGAGTCGTGATAGTTCCTGGGCCTGCAGCTCCAGCCCAAGTTGCCCCGCAAGGAAACCGCAACACAGGTGGTGCTCAGGGCGGAGCGGCTCAGGGACAGGCACAGGCCCAAATGAATCTGCCGTGATGGAGTTTGGACCAGTTTGGACCTCGTGGTTCTCTGCATGGAAAGCTGGTGAGACACATCTTCAAAAGGGTTACAACATCACTGGCATCCGACTTTCACGGGATCAGATGATCGTGTACCCGCTTGCCAGCGGAGCACAGAGAGTACAGTCAGGAAGTAACAAGATCCGTCAGGAGATACCAAGATCCTGTTTCTGGTGTTTTTTGCGACTTGTCGCATGAGTGTTTGAATATGCAGGCGATGGACCGACTGACATTGCTCGGCATGTCAGTCCGAGTCTCGCTGTCTTTGGTGGCAAACGTGCTGAAATCAACTGACTGCTCGCCAGAGTACCAGAACCTTGTCAGAGCTCGAATGTTTGTTCGAACCTGATCCGGCAACTTTGTAAGTCATGCGCTGTCTGCCTCTGAGCAGCTGGAGAACAGTCTTGTAGGCACGTGCGAGACATTTTGAAGGTGCTTGAAGCTCGCGATCGAGCAAAGTTCCCATCTTTTGTCCAGAAGAATGCCATCGAACGCTTTAAGGGTTTGGTCACTCCGACCTCTCGAAAGCGCGTGTTGCTCGTGGCAGTGTTTCCCTATATTCAATACACTATTGCGGTTCAGAACATGCAGGGATCCTAAGCTTCGATGAGGCTGGATGTATGTAGGATAGGCCAGATGGGCCGAGTTATTGCGGCGCCAAGCCCTCTACGAACACGTATGCGTTCGGTCGCTCTTTTTCTTGTGAGTTTGGAAGATGATGGACACCCCCGCGAAGGCAGGATCAAAAGGGTGTGAGCTCAGTTGTGATCTACCAGCATGTGAATGTAGTATAGCTTCAACGCTACGCGGCTCGCCTCGGCCGGGGCGCG